GCTCCACTCTCACGGGCTCACAAGGCCGTGTGTGAGGGGCCAGGCAGTCAACAAATAGATGAACAATCTCATTTGTAGATGGTGCTAAATATAATGAAATCATGAAAATGGGGCAAAATGAGGGGAGACAGCTATGAACAGGTGCTTTAGTTCTAGAGGCCTCACTGAGAAAGCTGGTCAAGGATCTTGCCTTCCCATGGTCAGCCAAGAACATAATTACCAGCACTCACATTGGACATGTGTCCTCTGCAGAATTTATGGTGAATCGAAAAGATGCACACAAATAGGAAAAACGAGTGCATTGCTTAGTCCACTATCATTGTCAATCCCAGACTATGCCCGTGCTCAACTTTCCCAAACACTCTGACAAGGAGTGCTTTTGTACCTGGCCAACAAGTCATCTTTTAGGCAAATGTTTGCAGCAGTAAGCTTGTTCCCAACCAGCTGACAGCAACATTCGACAGCAACCCCTACCAGGTGGTCTGTAGAGAAATCTGTATTTGTGCAGTGACATGAAGAGTTTGCATCTGCCCTTATTACGTTTTTAAATTGGTGAATATTTAAAGATAGAAGTGCTGATGCCAAAGTATATCTCACAAGCTTGATACAACTGAGAAGAAATGGAAACCCTTCAACACACTGGAATCCCTGGATCCTGAGCTGCTTGACTTGGGCTTCCTCCCCCACCTCTGCAGGACAAGGGCACCAAGGACAGCCTGGGGACAGCGTCCAAAGACAGTGTGTCATAGGTGTCCTACAATGTGACTTCAAACTTGCCAGAGACATGCTGTCCTCATAATGTTCAGGTCTGCTCCCTGCATTTTCATACTTTTACCTCTTAAACATATATTTAGGCATGTATTATTTATAAAAGCAGGATGATGTAAAAAATTACCCTATTCCACAATGGGTGGGAAACTGGATTGAATGTTACTACAATTACTGCAGGAATTGCATGCAGAATATTTATTTTCTCCATTTACTTATATTTTCAACTTGTCATATATATAATAAAGTTTTTTGAAAAATGGAATTAAAAGACAGTTTGAGTTTTTTCATTCATGAACTTTTTGAAGACCCCCATACATGCATACGATCTGTGTCTATCTACATCTACATTTATATCTCTATGTATGTATTTCTGCCTATCTACCTGTCTATATAAATTTCTTTACCTTATTGCTCTTCATTCAAAACAAGACCCTCAATTCCTGAGTAGGCCTTTAGAAGTTGAATGTATTTTGTACTTTTTAAGGTAAATGAGGTGTGGGAGGCGTAGTAGTATGTACAGTTCCAGCTGCCTGGATCTGATGCTGCATCTGCCTCCCAGTGGCTCTGTGAACGTGGTCAAGCTACTTACTCTTCCCAAGCCTTGGTTTGCCCATCTTCCACATGGGAATAATAATAACGCCTCTGTAATGTGGTTGTTGTGGGATTAAGTGCACGTGTAATGAAGTGCTTGGCACGAAGCCAAGCACTGGGAAGGCCCTGGACAGCAGGTGCAGGTGTGACGGGCTGCTGTCCCAGTGCCCACACCTTTAACGTCCAGTCCTCTAGCCCTCACTCCTCTGTCTCCCCCCCACATTCTTTTGGTTTGTTCTTACTTTCCGCTCCCAGCATCCACAAAGTGTGACTGTCTGTGAAGAAAGGACGCATTGATGCAGACACCTTTTCTACCACTGGGCCACTCTCTTCCTCTGCTTTTCTTTGAGAAGCCATAGCGACTGAGCACTGCAGTCACAGCCCCACACAGTCCTATTTGATCCTTCTTGGTTGGCTTCACCACTATTTCTTAGAAATAGAGGTGGAATTCTCAGATTACAGAAGGCTGGGGAAGCAGAGTTAAATGTTGGTTAAACTCTCCTCTCAGGACAAAAGAAAATTATTAGAGAACAAACAAAAGGTGTGTGTAAGTGTTGGGGGTCACACACATGGAGCCCAGCTGTCACTGAGACTCTCTGCTCTTGGTCTATTTCTGTCCACTGTGCTTGGGCTCTCAGCTCTGCAGTCTATGACATTCATCAGCCTTCCTATGACTTCTGAAAAGTCCCGGGGTGCTCGTTTCTGTCCATTCCCTCAGAAAGTCCCCTTTGCATGCTCGTCACGAGTTTAGCCAACTTAGGTACAGGTTTTGTGACTCAGAGGGGCCTGCACGCTGGGCAGCCTACTTCCTTTCTCCTTCTGCCCCCCTTTCCCTTTTCTTGCCTTTCTGTCCCAGTAACCCGACCTCTCTCCTCCTCCATGTGCTGTCCCTGGCATGCCTTCTACAGCATGAGCAGGCTCTGGAGTCTCATTTTTCACCCTGAGAGGGTTTTGCAAGTATTTCTTCCAAATGAAGAAGAGGAGTGAGTAGATGTTTCTACCTCATTCCTCAAGTAAATAGAAAATTATGTCAGAATGAGAAGACATGGACAACTGCTGCTCCGTGGAAAAAAAAGAGGGGCTGCCTTGGTGGGAAGAGGAGCACACTCTCACCAGTTCTTCTAGCTTCATGTTCCTTCCCCTTTCAAAAATGCCCATGACACGCTCTATGTAGTGTCACAGTAGGTGTAAGAGTGGTGCCCCCAAACAATGTGAGCATGCTGGTGTGCGTGTGTGTGTTTTAGGGGTGGTTTGGGGAATGAATAAAACAACAAGGGCTGACCGGTTGGAGTGCAGTGCTGACGACACTACAGTCCAGGGTTGATCCCCGTGCCAGCCAGTGCCAGAGAAGAAAAACAGAAACAACCAATAGGAAGTAGTATTCTCAATTACTGGCTCTGTTCAAGTGAATGGGTACCAAAATGTACAGGAAAATTTGAATATTTCCAGTGGAGGTCTTGTTCATAAAAATTCATAATTTTAGCAGTATTTTATTCTAGTTTTTCCTTGTAGACATCTTGTGTGGATGTTGGGTTGTCAGTTTGCCATGAAGCATGCCAGAATTTAAAAGTGTGAGGCTGGAACTTCAGTCAACTAGAAAGAAAGATGCTGTAGAAAAATATACCGAAGAGCTGCATGTTGATTTTGTATTATGCAATGCACTGCATTCCTTGGCTCCAAGGATATTGGAAGTGTGGTGATATTTGGCACGGGTCTGTAGTGCTCGGCCACTGGCTGCTCGCATAGAGAAATTCAGCATGGCCCCTGCCTGCTGGGTGTGTTGCATTCCCCTCTGCCACTCGCTGCCACCGACAAGCAGGATTTGCTCATCTGCTGGTCAGCCAGGTGCATGCTTTCCTCCGTTCTTCCCTTAGCACCTGCATTTGGGTTAAGTGAGACAAGCCCATGAGAAGCAGCCCGTGCCTGGTGTTTTACAGCTGTTTTGGTTAGAATCTGTTGGTAGGAGCAGGGTTTGCTCATATTAATCACAGTATGAGTAGGTTTGTTGTGAATATCCACAATGAAGTTTGTCCAGAAAAAGCAGAATACCAGGCTTCAAGAAAGATGGACCTGAAGGATAGTTGGGGATTCAAGCTGACTCTTCGGGTCTCAGGAGAAAGCAGTCTCACTTCTCCACTCCAACAGTCCATTGCTGCCTTGGCATCACCAGGACTGCTGGTGGGTCACATAATTCCTGCATAGACGTCAGTGTCTATGTGCACGCCAGCAGGGCCAGATGCCCTGGCCCAGGCACAGTGACTGCTGCCTGCTTGGCTCTCTGCTCGCTGCATCTTCCCTGCCTCTCCTGGCTTTCTCATACATTGCTCCCCAGTTTGAAACAGCACTGCAAGATCTAGATCCTGGCCTGGAGCTTCACTTTCACTCTTGCTTTGACGGTTTAATTCATTTCTGTAGAAGAGAATCCCATTAGCTTTGCTCTGCCTTTCAACTCAGACAACACCATGGATCACTGGCCAGCTGATGGCTAGCTGTCTTTGAATCCTGGACCCACTCAGTTTCATCAGCTTTGACAGTGGTGGGGAAGGGGTGGGATTCTAGAGAAATAGAGTATAAAACACAGTGCCCTAATGACTGCATTTTTGGCAGCACCTTTGAGTAGGTTGGTTTCCCTAAGAGGAGGCTGTAGACAGAGCAGAAAAAGGACTTGACATTCCTAGAAGTGCTGTTTTTCAATGTGTGGCTGGTTTAATCATGGCAGAGGCATAGCTGTCTTTGAGCATGATATAAATTCTTTCCATAGCTTTAGCCGAACTCAAGGGAAGTTAACCCAACCAATTTTGATTCATAATCAGTAACATGGAAACCAAATACTCTCTTTGAAAAGATAGATGATCACATGTTGAAAAACTCTGGAGTGTTAAAATCCAGCCCAACAGACATGATAAAATAAGATCAGCACAAGTTTGGTTTAAAGTTCCAAAGTGCAGCCTGTGGATCTGCAGCTACTTTAACACGTCGCAATGAAAGTCAACTCAATCTGAGCCTAATCAGTGTTGCCCCACACGTAAGTTCTCTCTGTACTAGAGGTTAGAACAATAGACAAAAACTGCAGGTAAGAACTTCCTTGAAAACCCCTTTCTCTGCCTTCGGTTACCCAAAGTCAATAAGAACCAACAAACAATTTTATAGGATGTAAAGTTTTTGTCATAAACATGGTGACTATAGTTAATAATAATGTTTTGTTTACTTGAAAATTGCTAAGAGAGTAGATTTTACGTATTCTAGCCACAAAAACAACCAAACGATAAATATGTGAAGTAATGCATATGTTAATTACCTCGATTTAGCCATTCCACAACATCACGTGTGGAATCATCATTTCAAAACATCATGTTGTATGCCATAAGTATATACAATTCTTATTTGTCAATTAAAAAAAAAACTTTAAAATAAATTTTTTGTGTTGTTTTTCTTGATAAGCTGGTCTCTAGTGCACTGAAAGAGTTTCTTATCCATTGGAATTTTTCAGTATATATCGTGAGGATGTTTAGTCAGTTGTCGTCTGGGGAGGGGTCCTCCATGGGGTATTACTTGCAATTTATCTAGGAACTAGAAATGGTCTCCCTGCCACGCCTCTCCCCCTGTCTTTAATGTCTCCCTCACTCTGCCTTTTTCAGAATCACCACGACAGCGGCATGCATGATGGACCTGCGAAGATACCCGCTGGATGAACAGAACTGCACTCTGGAAATCGAAAGCTGTGTGTATCTGTATCTGAGTTTCTTTTCCTTCCACTTTGTGTTTTAAGTCTTTTTTTTTTTGTCATTTTTTAGCATCTTTTCAAAGGTGTCCATAATTTTCTTGACATAGTTTTCACAATCTCAAATATTAGAAGTTTAATTCTCCACTCTGAAAATTTCATTGTCATAACAGCGAGAGGGAATAAAAGTATAAAACAGTTCTTCATTCTAATCTGATTAAGAGCATCTGTTTGCTTTGTTGAAATGTAAGAAAACAAATGCCCCCATCTCGCTCCATTCAGTGAGAAGAGTGTAGATGCCCAGGTGCAATTTTCCTGCAATACACTGCATCATGCCTGAGTGGCTATGCTGCTGGGACCCTGGGCAGTCAGAGCAAAACTCACTTCCCACCAGGAACTTGGCTTTACAAACAGGCTCTCTCTACATCTCAGCAATTTTCTTAGATTTGAGTAGTATTCAGATGCTCTATTGATAATTCAACACTAAGTACTTACATGAGGGACGAGAGCTGCATCTACAACAAACGTCCCTCCTGCTACCTGAACTGCATCTCCCGGCACATCAGGATGTTGTTGTTGACATTGGCCTATCAAAGACAGGTGTGTAATTAGTAACAAGTGGATTTAGGCTTGTCAACATTTATGCTGAATTTTTGCAACATGTCTTGATGCTATTGTGGTGAGAAGAGCATGTCTTTGTGAATAAACGTGCTGAGAAATGGAACTGGTGATGGCCTAGGGTCCAGATCTGGGGTGGAGCTGGTCCCACTGTGTCCCTTGGTTCCACACTACATCACTTTCACGTTTTCTGAGAGCTGTGCTTTCAGAGAAGACAAGAGACAAAATCACGTCAAGTGATGCACAGTTGAATCATCTGGAGGACAGAGGCTCAGGGGACAGATGATTTGCCGGTAGCTGAAGGACCATCCTAGGAAGTTATTCTGTGTGGCTAGAGAACAAAACTCCAATGAGTCAATAAAAGTTTCAGGAACACAAACTTGTATCTAAGTGAGGCAGCACCTCTTCCAGCCACCTGAACACGTAGTGAGTGGCTTCTGAGAGTGTGGGTTTTGTGCTGCGTGGACTGGGGTGGAGGCCAGTAGGAAGGCCTGCAGTGAAAGAGATCCCCTCAGTGTGCACGGCCCCTCCCCTGCAGAGCACAATGGTTAAAGCATTTGAGCAGAGGAAGGGATTCTCTCAATTTTCTGGTGGCCTCACTATTCACATCACTGTAGTGGGAATGGAGAAAAGAAGGATGTGGCTTTATTTCTAAGCTTGCAGGCAAATTCTGTGATCCATGAATTCTTCCATCAGAAACTTACTGGACATCAGCTCTATGTGGGCACTGTCATGAGCACAAGGATATATGGAGAAGATAGTCAAAATGCCTGCCTCTGTGGAACTTCCATTCCAGAAAAGACAGAAAACAGACAAATAATAAACAGTGATAAATGCTTTGAAGAAAACGAAGTCTGATAAAATGGTAGTGAGTGATCGTGAGGTTGCTTGTGAGGTGGAATATCAGGAAGGGCTTCTGCAAAAAAGGTTTTATTTAAGTCAAGAGGTAAACGTAAGGAGAAGAGCCACGTGAAGGTCTGGAAGAGTGTCCCTGCAGAGGGTACAGCAGCCTGGGGTGCAGCAGGCTGGCCCGGGCTGTGGGACGAGGCCCCCGAGGCTGGGCTGCTGAGCACGGGAAGGAATGGAGGCACACGGGGGCCTGTCCTGTACGTCTGTGAGGTCCTTGTAAGAAGCTTGGACTTGTTTTGCTAATTGCATTGGGAAACATTTGAGGGTTTTAGGCAGAGGACTGGCATGATACAATGTGTGTTCTATTAAGGGTTGTGCAGCTGCCAGGTGAGAATGTAATGTAAGGAAGTCAGGATGAAGGGAGCAGACAGTGGGTGTGACCGTGCAATCCGAGCAGAGAGGTCAGCAGACAGGACGAGGCAGATGGCTCTGCTGTGGGAGCAGTTATCCCTAGGGCTGGGCCATTTTTTTGTGTAACATCAGATATTGGGTGTCTACCTTTCTGTTGTATTACATGTTCAAATCAAAATGTCTGTTGTATTGAGATGATATTTTTCTCAAGACCTGTTTTTTAATTGATCTTATTGATAAAGTTGACCTCATCTTTTAGGAGACTCCTGGGTATCACAAGTCACATCAGACTTTATTGTCCTACTTACTCATTCTCCAGAAGCACTGACTAATCACCAAGTGAACATGAGCACTGTGCAAAGAACTGGGTTTGGAGATATAATTCAGCTAATGACCCCTCCTCTTTCTGATGAGACCACCTGTGCAAATCTCTAAGGGTCAGGAATATCCCAGCAAAAGGCATTTCTAGGGCTGGGAAACCTCCCGGCCAGGAAGAGTGGAGAACCTATCTAGAGAGGCCAGGGAGAACCCTGCTGCTGCTCTGAGCATGCGCCGTGAGATTGGCCACTGCCTGGCTACGTTCACCTCAGTCTTTCAGTGTCTCAGCAGCACTTGGGAGGAGCTGCTTTTCCAGAATTCTTCTTACTTGAGTCCTCATTTTCTCTTACAACTACCTTTTTCATTGCTGTTAAGACATGTCTTAAATTCATTTCTGTGTGATGTCCAGGCCAGCTCTAAAGTTATGCTTTGCAAGCAGAACTCTGGTAAGAGCTCTCAGCCTCCCCAGCTTCTCTGCCTTTCAACACCAGCCTGGTACATCTCAAACAGAGGCGGTAACACAAGAACACGTGGAAGTTATTTTCAATGACGCTCCTCATAGACAAGCACATTAAACAAATCTGCTTCATATGCGGCAAAGCCATGACTCCACTACATTAATGACAGTTTCTTTAGCCAGGCATTTATAGAAAATGATGTTTCATATCTGCATGTCCCTGCTTCTCTTTCCTGGCAGATGGCTACACCACGGATGACATTGAATTTTACTGGCGTGGCGGGGACAAAGCTGTCACTGGAGTGGAAAAGATTGAGCTGCCACAGTTCTCCATTGTGGAGCATCGTCTGGTCTCGAGGAATGTTGTCTTCGCCACAGGTGGGTCCTGTGTCCACTCACAAGAATCAACAAAAAATTTTATAGGGTTTATTTACAGTCCCTGTGGGGGCCCCTGGCCGCGTTTGCGTGATTGTCTCCTTATGAAATATGCTACAACTGACTTACAGCGCTGAGTCATCCAGAGAAATGCCATCATCATCAGTAATTCGTCATCACATATACCTCTTGTCTTCATATCTAAAGGGGATCCATAGCTTTGATGGCTAGGAAGGGTCACTTGAGAAGGAAGCACTCTCTGGGACTGGTTACTGAAAAGTTGGAAGTCTGAGGGTGATTCTAACCAGTCTATGTTTGATAATGTAAGAAACCTTCGTCCTTGGGCAGATGAGGCCATCGATGCCTTGGAGGCGGGAGGGACGTAGAAAGAGGAAGCCAGAGGAGGTGGGTGCTACCCTCCAGAGTGAGCTGCCTCTCCCACCCCAGGCTGGCAGTCAGCGTGGCGGCCCAGGAGCGTGGCCACCAGCGTTAGCCCTGACTCTTCAGACACAGTTGCCTTCCCCTGATGCTGTCAGAAGGGGTTGACCCAGCCTGGGTTTCATTGTCCTCCCGGTTTCAGCTGTCCAGAGACTGAGACGGTACCTTCTGCCCTCTCTTCTTGCTGAGGTTTTACTGAATTTCGAGGTTGTGTGTTTTACACCTGCAGGGCCTGAATGCCCTGCATTGTGTCTGAGGTAACAGATGAGGGTGCTTAGTCAACTGTAAGGCGCTAGCAAGACCACCAGCTCCGGGTGGAATGTGTTGAGTGGAGGCAGTGCTGCCCTGTAGCTGAACAACAAGCGAGTAGAGATGCCCCGGGCCTGTGACGACGTTCCTGAGCAGGCGGGCCTGCAGGCTGAGCGCCCCGACCCACAGCCACCTGCCTCCCCTTGGCTTGGCCAGCTCTCCTGCATTCTCGGCTCCCGAGATGCCGCCTCCTCTGGGAAGCCTTCCCGACCTGCCTGCCCGCGGGATGGGCGGTGGCTGCGCATCTGTACGCACTGCCCAAGAACCTCCAGGCTCCGCCCGTGGCTCACCGGCCCGAGGTTTGGGGCAGCGCGCCCCTCCCACCCCACCTTGTGTGGCGCCCACGCGTCCTGGGCGTGAGGCGGCTGTCACTGGGTGAGTCAAGGTCACGCCTACGTCCCTCCTCCCACCCCACCATCGAGGGCCGATGGACATGGTAAGTAGAGACCAAAGCCTGAGTGTTTAAGACACCAATTAGGTCCGTCTTTATGCAGCGCCACTTTATCCTCGGTCACAAGAGGTGCTGCAGGTGTCCCCGCGGTCTCCAGAGAGGACACTAGAGGAGCTTGCCTCAGGTGGGTCATAAGAGCCAGCAGGAACATTGGCTTTTCATTAAGGAATGGTGTCCACAACCAAGAAAACTGCCGTGGTGCATTGAATAAAACAATGTATTGCTCCTAAAACTAGGACTCGAACTGTTCCACGCTCAGAACACAGGGGCAGCATTCCGCAGTGGGCTAATCCGCCCGCCCGTGCCTGCCTTTCTCCAGAAAATTGCAGCGATGGCCAATAGGGTGCTGCTGTGAGCATCTCCTGTTGCGTTTCCATGTGGCCTCATCAGACAGGGAGCCTGCGAGGTGTCTGTGAACCGTGCTGCTCCCACGGGAAACTGCAGCCACCTGGAACGGACTTCCTGAATCCACTAACTCCAAACCTCTGGCTGCAATCCGTCTTTTCTTAAAGCATGTATATGGTAGAACATACACTATACATGTCTGGAGAAAAGATATACTGCGGGTATGGGGGAGAATGTTTAAACTACTCACAGGGCCATGGGCCATTGGAATGCAATACATGTCTCCATTTCAGCACTACTGAGTCCCTGCACTGGCCGGGTAGTGCAGGAGCTCCTGACCAGTCAGTTACAAAACCTCCCAACCTTCAAAGAGCTTGCCCTTTAAATTGTTCTAATTTATCTATACCTGAGGAAGTGGCATGAGCCACACTATTTAAAAAATATTTAAAATTAAATATCATTCTCACTTATTTCCCTTTCCATAAGTGTTCTGAATTAATGAGATTTCGGTCAATAAATGGGGTTACAGGACTGTCTAGCCTGAGAAAGAATTCCCAAGAAAGGGATTAGGAAAAAACAATTCTCTGGAAGTTTGCTAGGACCAGGCGGAGTGGACATTGAAGATTCCATGTGACTCCCTCCACTGCCGTTTCCGTCAGTGTGTGAACATGGCAGCCACACCAGGGTCTGCACGACAGTGGTAGTGGCAGGAGGGGCCAGGAGCGGAGGGAGGCATCCAGCTTTCACAGTGTCATGGATGCCCCTTCTCAGAGTCATGCAAGTGCACTGTTGTGCCCCAACAGCCTCACCCTCATTCTGCCCCTTTGAGTACTGTGTATCTACTGTCACGTAGACACACAAGGCCATCACTGTGGTTTTCAGTGGCAGCTGTCCTAATCCACCTCTCAGGTAACCCAGGGTTGCAGGCTACAGGGCAGGGAGCATGCAGGAAGGCGAGTCCTGGATGTCCATTCAGCAAGTGATGAGCCAAACATGGGGCTGGGACGTGGGGCAGGGAGGGGAACAGGAGTGTCTAGGCCCATGGGATTTCTCACGGGGCCTTCATGGTATCAGCCATATTCCCAGACGACTTTATGTTGTCTCTTGTGTACCAAGAATTAAACTACAGTGAAATAACTGGCTTAAATATGTTCAAAAGACAATATGGATAGGGTTTATAAACCCTGACTCTGGGACTATCTAGCAGTGTGGCCCACAGCAAGTGATTCAACTTCTCTGAAAATCAGGGATATTGGTAGTACCTATTCGATAGGGTTGTTCAGAGAATTATATGATTTAGTATAAATGCAGGGCCTAGAAGAGTGCCTGGCCTGCAGTAAACACTATTAGCTATCACTAATTAAAAGGTGTGGGACCAGGAATAAGGCAAATTTTGAGGAGTCTGAGGATAGACACCATAGCAGCTGACTAAACACTTACATATTAGAAAAATTATGAAATTATTCTCCTGGACCATTGGACATTAAGTAACTGACTTTTAATTGCTTGTTGGAGGGATTCTTTTTTTTTTTTTTTCCTTTTTGTCTTTTTTACTGACCGGCAACGGGATCGCAACCCTCGGTGTCACGCCCGTACCGGGGACCGGCAACGGGATCGCAACCCTCGGTGTTGCGCCCGCACCACGCTCAGCCAGTGAGCGGGAACCGGTCTCCACATGGGAACCGAACTCTCGGTGGGAGCGCCGCTGCACTCCCAAGCGGTGCACTCTCCAGTGCGCCACCGGGCCGGCCCAGGGATTCTTAAGATTACAAATTGTTTTTGGTTCATATCCTTAATACATATTCCAGTGCCTAGTCCACTCTATATATAGCTTGAAAATTGAACAATCATTGCATTGAGATAGGAAATCTGACCATTATTACTAAGTATGTATTCAATCCTAATCAAATGAATCATTTCTTCAGAAGAAATAACATATAAATTAGTGACATTATATACTCAAATATTTAATGTACTCAAATATCATGTGTTAAAGAAAAATCCACATAAATTTCCACCCTGGGTGGAAATTAAGTGTACTCTTGCTCAGAAAGACGGAGCTATGCTCTGTAAGTGGATTTTAAAGACATGAAAGAAGGAGCTGAGTTAATGAATGCCAATAAATAATTATTCAGTTCCTACCGTGATTCAGCAAATATGTTTTAGAAAAAGTGTTTCAACTCATTTCCAACTCCACAGAAAATGATACAAGGCTGCATTGCTCTAACTTCTGACCATCATCACGGTGTGCTGTTTTGTTATTTCATAGCATCTTGTTTTAAAGATTTGTTCACTAATGTCCCTCGGAGACTGGTAGTTGACAAATATGAAGCTGAAAGTATAGCTAGCCATGCACTGCATAATGACAGTCCACATATACCACGATGGTCGGAGCCACAGGCTGTATTCTATAGCCTGGTGTGTAGTGGGCTATACCATCTAGGTTTGTGTTGAGTACCCTCTGATGTTTGCACAATGAAATCACCTAACGGCATATTTCTCAAAACAAATCCCCCTCCTTAAGCAATGCATGACTGTATAAGAAGATGGAAGCATAAGAGAGAATGATTTTATTAAAGCTTCATGGTAAAGCTAGAAAAGACAGATATTAGTCCCCAAAGTTTTTGATGTATAGGAACCCGTGATCAATTTTTTGACAATTTCAAAAACTAGTCTTTCTAAGCTTTAAGTGTACTTCCCCACACTTTGCATATTGATATTATAAGCATTCTTACAAAAAATGTAAATGTGTAAATGTTTTACAAAAGTTATAAAAAGTGTAGTGCTGAGGTGGCAGGTGACATCTGCAGCACCGGTCTTCCTCCCTTCTCACAGTCCTGTGTTAACAGTCTTGATGAGACATGCTTCTATGCAGGTTTCTAAAAACTGATGTTGAGATGGGAGGCCCCCAAATCCTGACCCTGCACCCTGGACTTTCTTAATCCAACACCTGGAAGTCCTCTATGAGGAGATGCAAACCCTCTGCCCTCTGCCCATCCTCCGCTCTGCTGCCACAATGGCAGCCACACAGCAGGCACCTGCTCACAAAGCCATCACCCAGCTCCCAAACCTCTGGCGACCTCCCTTTGTGTGTAACACAGAAACAGCTCCTTCATCCTGGGTCCCCGTCTAGCTCCAACCTATATCCTGCTCAATGTAGCTCAAGAAACTCTCAGATTAGTTGTTGCATTTAATTCTTTCTCTGTCCTCCAATCATTCACTCCTGCATTGTGCCCACAGACTTTTGTTCCTGTTACAGCCTCCACTGGACATATTTTCTCCCTCTTTTTTTTCTGTGCAAATCCAATATCTTCATCAGTGGACATTTCAAGGGAAATGGAAAACTTCTGCTTGACCTTCCTTGAGCTTCTCTACCAGTTGTCTCTTTCCTTCGGAAGGCTTTGAATCACGCATTGAATTATTCCTGTATCAACTGTCATGTACTAACTATTATTCTCACGTTTATGTATATCAGGTATTCAGTAAACATCTATTGAAATGATGTATTTGTTTACTAATAAACAGCCAACTCCCAAATACAAATTTTCCTTGAAAGTTAAACAAGAAAGAGAAAAAAGAAAACAGATCATTTTC